ACCAGCCGGCCAGCCAGCAGCCCCACTGGACCCCAGGGAAAGCGAGAATCCACCCCAGCACTCCCAAAGGTAGGGATGCTGGGGGGATTGAATTTAAAAAAAATGTGAGTGTGTTTGTGTCTGTTAGTGAGTGTCTGTTAGGGAGCGTGTTACTATGTGTGTCTGTTAGGGAGTGTGCAAATTTGTGTGTGTCTGTTAGAGAGTGTGTTAGTGTGTTGCTGATTGGCCAAAATGGTGTTTGGCTTTGCCCCCATCCCACCCCCTTGCAGATTTCAGCCAAAAAAAAAGGAAAGCATTGGATTGGCTAAAAATGATAAATTCTGATGATGTGACCCAGGTGGCGGACCCACGCGAGGCTGGAAATAATGTATGTTTTAACTCATTCTAAGAGAGCTAAGGTCATGGGCTTGTCACCAGTGGGTTGGCTCATGGATCTGTACTTGGACCCATTCTCTTTAATATTTTTATTAGTGATATTGCAGAAAGTCTTGATGGCAAGGTTTGTCTTTATGCTGATGATACTAAGATATGTAACAGGGTTGATGTTCCAGGAGGGATAAGCCAAATGATAAATGAGTTAGGTAAACTAGAAAAAAAGGTCAGAGTTGTGGCAACTGACATTTAATGTGGATAAGTGCAAGATAATGCATCTTGACCAGAAAGAAAAACCCAACTGCAGAGTACAGAATATTTGATAGAGTCCTAACCTTAACATCTGAGGAAAGGAATTTAGGGGGTGATTATTTCTGATGACTTAAAGGTAGGCAGACAATGTAATAGAGCAGCAGGAAATGCTACCAGAATGCGTGGTTGTATAGGAATAGGTATTAGCAGTAGAAAGAGGGAAGTGATCATGCCATTGTACAGAACACTGGTGAGACCTCACTTGGAGTATTGCACACAGTACTGGAGACCGTATCTTCAGAAGGATATTGATACTTTAGAGAGAATTCAGAGAAAGGCTACTAAACTGGTTCATGGATTGCAGGATAAAACTTACAAGGAAAGGTTAAATGAACTTAACATGTATAACTTGGAGGAAAGAGGAGAAAGGGGGGGATATGATAGAAACATTTAAATACATAAAGGGAATCAACACAGTAAAGAAGGAGACTATATTTAAAATAAGAAAAATTACCACAACAAGAGGACATAGTCTTAAATTAGATGGGCAAAGGTTTAACCCCTAAAGGACTGAGCCAAATGTACACGTTGTGATCAAACAAGATGTAAACAAAACCTTGAATTTGCGCTATATGTCTGTTCAGGCGTAATTCACCTTTTTCATAATATGTGCACCCACACTGATTATATATCATTTTATTCAGGGGAAACAGGGCTTTCATTTAACATAAAATATTTAGGTATGAAACATAATTTAATATGAATAAAATATAAAAAAAAAATTGGAGAAAATAAATTTTAAATTGTGACATTTTAACTGTGAAGGTCATAATACTGTTTGCTTTTACTGCATTAAAATACACATATTTGTATTCAGCGATGTCTCATGTGTAAAAGAGTACCCACTATGTAAAGGTTTTATGGTGTTTTGGGAAGTTACAGGGTCGAATATGTCATGTTCCATTTTTCATTTTTGTCACATTGAAATTCGCCAGATGGGTTTGTTGCCTTTGAGACTGTATGGTAGCCCAGGAATGAGAATTACCCCCATGATGACATGCCATTTGCAATAGTAGACAACCCAAGGTATTGCAAATGGGGTATGTCCAGTCTTTATTAGTAGCCACTTGGTCACAAACACTGGCCAAAGTTAGTGTTAATATTTGTTTATGTGTGAAAAATACAAAAATGTCCAAATATTCAATTGTTTTTTAATTGAACTATACAGATCTTCATAATTACGCTGGATAATATTTGAAATATTGAAGGATAATTTGATACCTAGATACTCAATAGATTCAATAGATTCATGATTCCAATTAAAATGAAAGTCGGATTTAAGGAAAAATAGTTCAGTCTCATCTATGTTTGACACCAAGATTATAGTTTTCTTTTAATTTATTTTTTAATTAGAAATGTTTCCATATAATTCAATGACTTTCAAAACCTTAGGGATTGAAGTTGAGGGCCTCAACAGGGACAGAAGCACATCATCAGCAAATAGAGATATTTTATAGTCTCGATCAGCCGATTGGATCCCATATATTTTCTTATTATCCCTAATCATGATGGCTAATGGTTCGATGGACAGAATATATAATAATGGAGCCAATGGGCATCCTTGCATTGTACCATTGTTTATTGGAAATAGGGCCGATTCAAAAAAGGGATTTAAAATTTTTGCACCTAATTTTGTTAATACTCTAAGAATCTCCAATAAACCCTATCAAAGGCTTTTTCAGCATCAATGGCTAAGATAACCATTTCTGAATGCATAAGGTTACTTTTGATTATCAGTATCATTATCAGGTTAAGTATTCTACGGATATTATCCTGACGAACCTGACTGATCGACCATAATTAGGTCAGATATGACTGACTTCAATCTATTTGAAAGAATGTGAGAACGTGCTTCTTTCAAAGTTCATTTATACAACTGCAACCAAATGGCAGTCTTTAAAGTGCATGTGCAACAAGCCTATGTTCTCTTGCAGTGTATATTATGAAACTCTACCACAATGCGCTAGACACATGACTATAACTTGATTAAAGTGTTTGTGCAACAATGTTCTTAATTACATTTTAAGTGCAGAATCTTTTTTTTTCTGACCATAAAAGGCAAACCATAAATAATGCACTAACACTACCACCAGTAAATACCATTAAAGACCCCCCCCCCCCAATATGCAGCCCAAACCTCTGCCTTTATTACACTCCCATTAATAAATAAGAGCCTGCGAGGAGCCTTTTTTTTTTTATTTATTTTTTTAAACTTAACAGAACATGTTAACCCTAGTATCACTCCAATGGCCAGTAAAGTATAAGCTCACCTGCCATGTCTAGTCCTACACTAACAATTTACTTTCCTTCTTTCAGCTTCGGTTAACAAAAATAAAAATCTCTAATGAGACAGAGGGGTATTTTTCAAAACCCCTAAATACTTATTAACCCTTAATAGAGAAAACATGGGTAAGCGGCAGCATTGTAACATGGCTGTGTAATACCACCAACCCCATGTGTTGCCTTTTAAGGGTTAATAAGTATGTAAGGACATAATCATCTTAAAGAAGTAGTTATAGTGAAAGGCCCTGTCCATGCATCTTTTTTAATTTTATTAAATGCTTAATTCCAGGTGATATATATTTTTTTCTTGTGTATAAAGCCACCTCCCTTGGCTGTTAACCACTTAACGACTTTCAGCGCCAGGAGGTCCACGGTACGTACTTACATAGTTACATAGCTGAAAAGAGACTTGCGTCCATCAAGTTCAGCCTTCCTCACATGTTTTTGCTGTTGATCCAAAAGAAGGCAAAAAACCTAGTCTGAAGCACTTCCAATTTTGCCATAAACTAGGAAAAAATTCCTTCTTGACCCCAAAATAGCAGTCTGATGTCTCCTCGGATCAAGCAGCTATTACCCCACTAATTAGAAATTATATCCCTGTATGTTATGTTTTTGTAAGTATTTATCCAATTGCAGTTTAACCCCTTAAGACCGCAACCCAGTGGCGTACTTGGGGGCCGGTCCGCCCGGTGCCACCAGGGTGGGGGAGGGGGGGTGCCATGGCCCTGGTCTGGGGGGGCTGTGTGAGCCATGTTAGTTAGGGTGCCGGGCGGCCAGAACAGCTCACACATGCTAAGAGCAGCTGAACTGGCCGCACGGAATTAAAGTGTGGGCGGGGCTAACAAATTGGGGGCGGAGCCAGACCAGAAGCAGGGGTGTGGCTTAATACAGCCCTTACCAGTTACTGCTGCACATGGAGGTGCAGTAAGATGGAATCCCTGCTTCTCCACAGGCTTCAGGGAAGGACTTCAGGAAACCACTCCTCCTCCAGCCCACTGTCTGTAAAACTGTCTGCCTGTAACTGTGTGTATTTGTGTGTGTGATTGCATGCCTGTAACTTTGTGTGTTTGAGACTGTATATGTTACTGTCTGCTTGTAACTGTGTGCGTGACTGTCTGGCTATGACTGTGTGTGTGTAACAGTCTGCCTATAACTGTGTGTGTGACTGCCTGTGACTGTTTGATGTTGCCTGTAACCGTGTGTGTGTGTCTATCTGCATAGGCATGCGCACGGGGTGCCTGGGCACACCATAATTCCTGCGGCACGCGCTATGTGCCTCCCTGCGTGGGCTGGTGAGGGAGATCAAAGATCTAACTCACAGGCCCACAGCAGCATGGAGGGAGGCAGGAGAGGACAAGGGGAGCTCTAGCCAGCAGCTCCGCCAGGTTCCTCTCGCTCAGATCTCACGAGAGTGAACTCAAGCCCGCAGGCTGCGGGGCTAGAGTTCGCTCACCACTGGACTACCAGGGATGGCAGCAGCACGGTCCCCCCTCCCTACATAAGGTAAGAAGGGAGAGGGGATATTAACTAAACGGCCCCCCCCACCTACACACTAACAGCACCCTTACACATACACACACCACCCTCACAAACAAACACACAGCGCCTTCACACACACACACACACACACACACACACACACAGTAGTGTGTGTGTTTGTATATATATGTTTGTATATATATATATGCAGCATGTGTTTGTGCTTTAGGGTGCACACCCCTGCAATGGGCTGTGCACGCCTATGACTGTCTGTGACTGTGTGCATGTGACTGTCTGCTGCTGCCTTTAACTGTGTGTGTGTTGTAGGGATATTTACGGGATGATAATATTATACAGTTGAGAATTGCCCACTATTTCAATTCTCTTAGATCTTAGAGATCGTTATCATCTAAGTGAAATGTATTCCATACAAATAAAATCACAATTTGTTATAAAAATAGATATAATTTATTGTGACTAAAAATAATAATAATATGTAACATGCGTGATAATCAGTGAATATTTTTAGTACAACGTCATATACAATGGTAATGGCTAAACATAGTACAAGCTACAGCATCAACTGATTAATGAGGGTACTTCACAGACACAAAGCAAAACTTCACACAGCACAGCGAAAAGTCGTAAAACCTTGGCTAACAGATCAACTGAGTAACCCTTTCAATGCTGGCTAGATCCTCCTAGGCATATAGTATCCTATTCTCGTGTAATTTTCAATTAAAATAACATTCGAACCAGCTCATTAATCGTTTCCTGGAACCATCCAATAAGAATAATCTACCAGATTTTTACAAAAGCTGAATTTTAATTTGCCTAAAAAGACATCTTATCTTATTTTAGAGCAAATCAATACACCTGGATAAAAACAGCGGTATGCTAACATTAATGCTCCATTAACATTTAAACAGAGCATTCCATCCCCCTGCTTCATTGCTTATCACTTTGCTTGTTTACATAATGCATTCCTTAGCTCAGGCTAGTGGCTAGTTACAGAAAGGAAAGACATTTTGTGTTTGTCTTGCCTGAAATCCAAAATGGAGTCCGCTCTGTTCTGAGTGACTCTGGCAATATACACTTTTAATTTCTATCTTAGCACAAAATGTCTGCCGATAGAAATATCCTGACATAAGCCCCCTTAGTGATTCTCATAGCAATGAATAATATAGTATATGAATAAGCACTATAGAGGTTACCAGACATATTGTGCACTCACATCATTTCTACTGACATAAGCCTGTGCATGGAATGAACATTTTTGTACCTGTAAGAGCTTTGAACTTTACACTTAGTACAATCAACCATAATATCATTATTATCATTGTAAATTGTTTTCGGGAGTTACATATGGTATGGCCAATTAAAAGCAAATCTCCATGCGTTCCGGATCAATTAAGAGAGGTATAGCACTCCCCATCTCAAAGGCCAGATTTAATTGCATAGGTTCAATTGTCTCTCCATCCACATCGCATGAACAATATCCTTGGATACAAAGTACAGAGGTATGCGTCCCCCTGCCAATTCAATCATTCCAGTTTGCACTTCGTCAAGAAAAGCAAGTGTGTGGAACAATATTGGGTTCATGACTTTGGTGCAACTCAGTGGATTTGGCAATTAACTCTGAATGCAAACTTGTTGTAACAACTGTGTCTTGCACAATAGTTAACACATCTTGGAGAAGTGTTCTTTACTGGTTTATCACCTGATGAATATTGTTAATGTGTTGCTTTAGCACATAGATTTCCATATCCAGCTTTTGGACAGTAATAGAGTTGGCTGCAGACATTCCAGTTGCGACAACTGCACTGACAGTGGCACAAACTAATGCTACAATTATGGCGGTGAGGAACCTTTTGGGTCAGTTGCTCATTGAAATAGTACTGGATACAAATGGTTTCCGGGCTTGCTCCAAGATGTTTCGCACATGGTCCTGTGCACTTCGGAGGTGCATCTGGTACCAAGTCTGTAACTCAGGAAGCTGCATTGATGAAATTTTGTATGCCTTCTCGATGGAAATCTTGGGGTCCAAGCTGACGAACACACGTCGGGTCAGGATCCTCTTCTGTCAAGATGAACCTTGGTGTCTCTTGAATCAGGATGCCAGAGGATGGTCCTATCTCTGCGATCGGGTCAGTCCATAGCTCTTGGCACAGGAGCAGTACGATCCAGAAACATGCCACATCCTTTCGCCAGTCACGGATTAGGAACTTGTTTCAGACTTATCTACTAATGATTCAAGGTTTGTTAAGCATACAAACTTATAACAGTGTGACATCACTTGGCCTAGGACAACGCATTATTACGATCATCAACATATGTATTCTGTCTAATTATATTTTTATAACTTCATCCCTCACTACATTTATTACTGACTCTTCAGTAATTCGCCTATAGCAGCTAAACAAGCTAGTAACCTGCTTAGAAAATGTAGTTATTGGATGGCAAGGAAATGGTTAATGACATGAACGTACATGAGATCATGGCAAATCACGTTTCACATCATACTATACCACGTGAATCAAGCATTCATCCAGGTTAGTCGTTCACCCCTTCTGCGTCCGAATCCACACCTATAATCCTTAATTGAGATTTAGGATGACAAGCACGCAACTGGTTAATGTGAACCCACTTTTCAATAAAATCACCATCCTTAGGAATTTTTATCTTATACGCTACAGGGGAAATTTTGTCAATGATGACATATGGCCCTTTCCAATAAGGTAAAAATTTATTTTCCTTAACTTGATTTCGCGCAAAGTTATACAGATAGACTTGATCTGTGATGTCATATTCCTTTTTCGTGGTTTTTAAATCGTAATAGGTCTTAACCCCTGTCGCTGCTTTTTCTAGATTCATTTGGGCAAAAGCAAACGAATGCTGTAAATGCTTACGCAAATCTTCGATATACTGATGCGTAGTGGCAGCATTGATCAAGTTATGATCTGAAGTACGATATAGTAAATGCTGTGGTAAAATCATCTTTCTTCCTGTCATCAATTCAAAAGGTGACAATTTGGTAACAGTGCTAGGTGTAGCTCTAATTACCATTAAAACTACTGACAATTTAATGTCCCAGTCTTTACCAGACTCCTTAACATATTTCTTCAGAATATTAACGATAGACTGGTTATATCGCTCTACCCCCCTGCTAGACGCAGCGCGGTATGCAATATGTAGCTTTCATTTAACACCTAGAATTTTCCACATCTTAGCCATTACTTCGCTGGTAAAATGACTACCTCTGCCTGACTCAATTCTTTGAGGCAGACCGAACCTGGAAAAGACATGGTTAATCAACAAAGTGGCACACACGGTACTCGTGTTCTCTTTACAAGGCAAACACTCTATCCACTTTGTGTACATACATGTAACGGTTAACATGTATTTGTTACCGGACCTATAAAGTCAATTTGAATATCAGACCAGGGTTATGACACCCCCCTCTTCTAAAGTGTTGCACGATGGGTTGGACCATGGGGTTGATATTGCGGACAAATCAAGCATCCCTGACAGTATGTCTTAACATCTCTTAACATGTGTGGCCAATATGTATAATCACGCAATATCTCATATGTGATCTGTAGCGGAGATGCAATATTACCCAGGTTATCTCCGCTTATAATCCAAGTGAGGCTCAGGAACAAGTAAATAGTAAATCCACAGGCAAGGCTTCCAGCAGGTAAAATACAGCAATATCCCAACAGCAATCCCAATAACTGGACGACACACAGTTTCAGGAGCAGAACTGAAAGCTTTAATCCACAGTCTCCTTATAAAGCATGCTCCCATGCAAGAGAGGGATTTACAGTAATTATTACAGTAGCCAATCCTGTCCTGGTAACCTCCCACACATCTCCTCCCCTCAGCCAGCATCATAATCCCCTTATCCAGTACAGTAATTCCCCCCGTTTCTGGATGTACCCCTAAACGTAGGGGTACCTCTTTAAATCCTACATCCCCGGATACCCCTGATCTGGGTGAACAACATATCCAAAAATCACTCAGATCAGACCAGGGGTTCGGGAACTGTATGGATGGAATAAAATGACCGATCGCACTAACTGAGATAGCCGAATAAGGTTCCATGCGAATGGGCCCTGCGGTCGGTCCTGGCATAAGGGAACAAAATACACGAAAGCCTCTAGCTATAGAGGCTAGGGAGGGTTCGCCTGAATCCCCTCGTTCGGTATTTTCTATCTACCGAACGAGGGGCCGTTCGGTAGTTTGGAACCGAACGGACCAGGGTTTGTGGAGGTCTCAGCGGTGTTCGCCTACTCGAGTGTCCGATTTTAGTTCCAGACACTCGACGGCAAAACACCGCTGTTCGGGAGTTTTAAAATGGCCGCCGCCACGTGTTCGTTTGTCGAATGGCGGCCACCCCCGAGAACAAAGGACGGCTACTTACTATTCAATTACCCGTTCGCAACAATGTTGCAATGGGTAATTGAGGACACACTTCACACAGGGGAGGTCTGGTTGTTCGGTAGTTTCATTCGAATAAACTAAGGGAATGAAACTACCGAACAATCAGAGGAATACAATTCTTTTTAACACATATAAAACACAGCAGATACACGAATGCAGTTAGGTACAGTATATTTGTAGGATCGCCTGGTGCCATCCGCTACATGATCTTATCACCACGATGCCCAGATTTAGAAGTTCAGACTAGCAACCCATCCAGGATACTAAATTGGACTTTATATCTCATCAAGATTTGTAAATTTTCATTATCTTTGTAATCCTCATTTGTGATGGGATTGGCAGTAGGGTCTTCTATATGTCTATGGAATATGCCTATGACGGGATCATTCTTTTAGAAAACGAAAAAAATCTATATAAAATTGTTACTAATTTTAGCAGCACACAAACTAAAAAGAAGTTTAAAATCAAGAGTTTAGTTTCCTGTTCCTCAACTCATGTTGTATAACTCCTCACATGTGGATGTGGGTTGCAATATGTGGGGAGGACAGGAAGAAAAGCCAAAATTAGATTCCAGGAGCATAGAAATAACATAAAAAAACATATGTTAACACACTCAGTGCTAGTGCACTGTAATAAATGCCCTCTCTAATTTTAACACCCTTCAATGCATTATTATTGAACAGGTAGCGCTGGACGAAAGAGGTGGTGACCTTGGGTTATTGTTAAGGAAGAGAGAGGTTTACTGGATACATACCCTACAAACTATGCAGCCAAGGGGACTTAATGTAGATTTTGATTTAGTTTGTTTCCTTTAAGGGTTTAGATAGTATTATTATTTATTATCATTATTATCTCTTGCTGTTATTTAATTAATGTTGATTTAATTTTGGGTTATTTCTTTTAATTAGATGAAGGTTGTAATTAAATGAAGGATTATTAATAAGTTTTTTATGATTGCCCAATATTTGGGATATTTGATATTTTTTAAAATGCCTTGTATTTTTATGATTTTCTCCGTACTCATTATGAGTGATGGAACGCAAGTCGACGAATGGAACGCAAGCCCATGCATCATCACGCCCGGTTTCATTTTGAAAGAGGCTTGAGCAGCATTTCCGGGAATATGGATGTATCCAGAAGTATTAACAACGATGAACCCGAAAGTACGTTGCTGATAGGTTCGGCTATCTTGCGTGCCAAAATCGGAGAAATTGGGAGAGTTTAAAAGAAGATTGAGACTGTGTGGACATTTATGGCTAGAAGGAGCTTTACTTGCCCCTGAGGAAGTTCAATTAGTTGAACGAAACGTGTAGGGCTATTTGTATTAGTGCAGAGTTTTATTTTATTTATTTTTCATTTATTATTTATTTTTATTTTTGAATGATGTTCTCTCCGGTGTTCCAGCATACTGGGATCCTGTGATTGAATTAATCATATATGATATGCCTGTCTTTTACTTCGATTTTGTAAGTGTGTTATTACATTAAAAGTGTTCATTCTGATTAAGATACTCTGCACTATCATTATTTTCCTTTTCTCCTTCATATTTGCCACGATGTCCTACAATCAATTTTGGTTTGTGAGTGCAATTATTACATTTACTTTCCACCTTAAAATTATTGCAACATTATTGCACTATGTTTCTCTTTGTTGTTATTGTATTGTAGATTTTTTCGTTTTCTGTACCATTTCAAGGACCGTGAGGAGTCCTTATCTACAGTACTTATAGTACAAGGATAATTGTATTTAGAATTTTTTCTATCTGTTGCCCACTAAGTGTGTGTTCTATCCACTATTTGGTGTATCTGCACATTTTCGTATTTGGGATAATTCTTTTGACTGGTAATCAGAACCTCACTAGGAGCCCATTGCACGACATTTAAGTCGGCATTATCTCTAACCAGTCGTCTAGTTATGGCTTCAACATGAATCGAACCCATAAGATCATCAATGTTTAGGGTTTCACCATTGACGGCTGCTTGTTTTACAGTGAATTGGCTAAGTCATTACCGTCCTTGTCAATACCTTCTATTTTAGAATGGCATTTGTTTTTTTTACAATTTATGGTCAAACCATTTTCCTTAACCAGTTCATCGATTTTACAAAACAATTTCCCATGTTTAACAGGTTTGTTATTGCTTTTCAGCACTTGGTTACGTTTCCAGCTAGCCAGATATTTGACGAAACTGTTGCGAACATAGTTGGAATCAGTTATGATACTGAATTCTTTGATACCATATTCTATTGCCATTTGAATGGTCTTATATACTGCACAGAGTTCGGCTATCTGACTGCTTTTGGAACCAATATTGTATCCTATAGATACATTGGGATAATCACCTGCCCAGGCGATTCAGATACCTGCAACTAACTTCCGTTCAGCACCAGCGGCGTGGTAATATGAACAACCATCAATGTATAACCACGGTAGTGGTTGACAGTTTTCCTCGTCATAAACTTTATAAGGGGAAAGCAATTGCTCTTCTAGGAAGCCATCTCCGGTGTCATTATCATCCAGAGATGGAGCAGTACAGTCATGTAGTTCTGCTAAACCTTGGGCAACTGGGCTTCTCTTATGTTTACAACGGACTTCTAACGGCCATCCCAGTAAGGATAGAGTCCATGCAATAATCTGACTGTTAGAGAGATTACCGTCTCTGATTCTTTCACTCCGCAGATACTGTAGAGGTTGGTGAGCTGTTTCTACAATTATTTTCTTACCTTGGATATAGCTACGAAAATTTTGCAGTGCACAGACAGTTGACAATAACGCCTTCTCACATGTGCTGAATTTAACTTCAACAGGTGACAAAGTCTTGCTAGCATATGCAATAACTTTGTTTAAACTGTCCTGCTTCTGATACAGAACAGCACTTATGCTTAAATTGGTATATCCTGTCTCCAGATAGAAGGGTTTACCCTCCTCTGGGTATGCTTAACAAGGTGCCTGAGTGAGCTGCTTCTTCCTCAGTCCACTTACCGCTTGGTCCTGAGACTCACCCCAGTTCCAGGTAGTTTCCTTTTTAAGCAGGTGTAATAATGGTTTTGTTATTTCTGCATAGTTATCTATAAACTTACGTGAGCAAGGAATGATCTTAATTCCCTGATGTTTGAAGGTGTTTTAGCCTTAATTATAGCATCAACCTTATTCTTCTGTAGATTTAATCCGTCAGAAGTTACCTCATGTCCAAGGAAATTGACATGGGTGCGACACCATTGCGCCTTTTGTAAAGACAGTTTAATCCCTGCCTCTCTTAACTGAGTGAGAACATGTCTAATCTCTATGATATGCTTATCAAAGGAAGTGCTTTTCAGCAAGACATTGTTGACATATGATAACGTTCCTCTCTTGAGTGCGTCAGGCATAGCTTTATGCATGAACACAGCGAATTCATGACCAGAGATTATGTAACCGAAGGGCATACGGGTCCAGGTATACTGCTGCTTTCCAAATGTGAAGGCCAATTTGTATTGGTCTTCATCATGGACTGGTACAGTCCAATATCCCTGTGCACAGTCAATGGCAGTGAATATTTTGGATCCCTGCATTTGTACCAAACATTGGTCTATGTATGGCACTGGCCAACCAGACATATAGATGCATTTATTTAGCTGTCGTAAGTCAGCGCATAAACGCCATTGTCCATTAGGTTTCAGAATCCCCAAGATCGGATTATTATACGAACTGTGCACCGGACGTATAATGCCCCTTTCCTTTAAATTCTGAATGATGTCTTGTAGACCATCATATGATGCTAATGGGAGTCTATATTGTTTAATAAATACAGGTGGTAAATTTGGATCAGTTTGTATTCTGGCTACGTGGAGGTTGGTTGACCCACAGTCGTAGGAATCTTTGGCAAAAATATCTTGGAATTCCATTAGGATTTCCTTTAGCTGTTGTCGCTCAGCATCGTTGGAGCAACCGTCAGCTAAAGATATTTGCTCTTCTAGCCTTTCCTGAAATCCTGGAAAGATTTCAGGCAGACCTATCTCATAAGCTTCTTCAAGCCTAGAAGTTAGGTCAGTTCGGTGTTGACTTACCTTTTCTCTTTGGTCGTGATACTCTTGTGATTCTTGCTCATTGAGCGGATGATCGAAGGTGATTGATGCTTCTTTGATTTTACACGAGCCTTCTTTGACGTTGAAGGGATATACAGATAGGATAGTGAATAATTCCTCTGGGGAGGAATGGAATATTTGATTGACAATTTTGTCCTCAGTTAAGTATTCTTCAGGGATGAGGCCTATAATTTGGTTTTGGAAACCAAATGTATAGTACTC